TCCACATTGCTGATAAGGGTCTGCATCTGAGCCAGCTCGGTGCTGAAGCAGGCCTCAGCTTCACGCAGGGAGTTCCGCAGACAGCCTTTCTGCAGTACCAAAGTGGGTAGCAGGCTAAAAATAATGGATCCCAGCCCTCAGGTTCTTCAGTAAGACCATAATACCCCAAGACATTGCCAGGCCGGAGACAATCCTGCTCCCACTAGCAGTCTTCCCCTGGGTGATCTAAGAAAGTCCCAGGGTTCTTCAACAGAGACCTTAGGGTAAGTCTGCAAAACCTTCCTCCTCTGGGTTAGGTTCATTTCCTCAGCATCCACCTCTAAGAAAACATTTTGCAAAGGCCGGAAAGTTACGGGTTAAGCTGTGCCCCTGGTCTGTGTTTACGTGAGGCATGTACAGAGCCCAGCAGCTGCTCACAGGAGGGGAGCCAAGCTGAGTCCTCCCTGCATGCCCAGGACTCACCAGCGCGGGCTGAGCCTGGCGCTCCACTTCCAGGGCGTTCACGGGGCATCGCAGCTCCAGGATCTCTGACTGGCAGCACTGCGGCTCCTCGGAGCAGGATGTGGCCTGCAGGCTGATGCCTTCAGACTGAAGCATAAGTGCAAAGAGAGACAAGGCCACCTCCCTGCCCAGATGAAAGCCAGGGTCTCTCCCTGCTCTGCAGCGCCGCCCTCACCTGAGCTTGGAACCGCCGCTCCACATCACAGAGGTTGGTCTCCACCATGGCACCACACCTCCTCCAGCACCCTGCCCGGATCCACAGTGGGCTCCGTGTCCAGCTCAATCCAGAGCTTGTCCCCCAGTTGGCACTTCAGAGTGCTCACTTCCTGCAGGATCAGAAGGACCAACACCCTATGTGAGAAAGGGTTTTGCACAGAGCATCCAGCACCTGCACTCCTCCCCAAAAAGCAACAGGAGAGGCAACCCCACATACTCACTGATGGGAAAGGTCTGCCCAGGGTCAATGGCAAGAGCCCATTGGATACCTTCTTAAATGCACACAGCAAATCTTTGGAGATGAGAAACACCCAGTCGGCCACCTCCCACAGAGTCAGCCTGACTCACACCCAGATCACCCCTTTCTCCTAAAGCCCACTGAGCCCAGGTGCTAGTCCTAGAGCCTCAAGGTAGGCATCCTCCCTTTCCTGCCCCCCAATATCCCCCATAAGTCTGCAGCCACAGGGCCTTAAGAGCTGATGGTTGCTCTCAAGACAGAGATGCTCCTTCAGGGACTCCTGCTGGGCCTCCAGGCCAGCCTTGGCCAGGCTCAGGTCATCCAGAAACTTGTGCATCCCGCATGTGTCTGCCTCCACCACCTGACACAGGGAGTGCTCATTCTCGTGCCTTCCATCACAGGAGATGTGAGGTCAGCAAGATGCCAAGACAGCCCCTCTCAGCTGCCCCCAGTCCCACAGCCTTCATCACCCTGGGTCCTCATTTCCTCACTTGATCAGCATTCACTGCGTTGGATCATGTAGCTACAGAACTCATGGTCAGGACAAGTATCATTATGCCCGTTGACTACGGGAAACAGGCTCAGAAATAATAACTGGACTATCCAGGATTATAATATCTTG